ATCACCAAGGGGAGAAACATCGTTCTGGGAAACCTGCTGTACCTGCCTCCCTCTGCTGTACGTTCACCCCCCCTACTCCCCCCCAAAAAAGTAATTAAAAAAGGGAGACTCTGGCCGCCTCCCCCCCCCCCCTCAGAGCCTCGCATACTAATCAGCCATTTAGGAGGAAAACCTGCAGGATTCACACATCTCATTTTCATCTCCAAAAGAGCTCTTTCTCCATTGAAATGAAGATGGGCTTTTTTAAGCTTGAGTAAGTCTGCCAGGCCGAGTAAATGGAGGATATATTTCATTAACATAAATCAGGAGTGTATGACGTCTCCGGGCTCTGACTGCAGTTACGGTCTGTTGGATGGAATCAAATACAGCGAGACGGGAGGTTAACAAAGCCAGAGTGAGATCCAGGCGATCCAAGTTGAGTCTGATCCACTGCATTTAGAGGGTTTGGACTCTGGGAACACAACCCCAGAACACAGAGTTAAAGAAGCCCTCGTGTTTTTGGGGTCCTTGTTCCCTGGAAGTTTCTCGCACTGCTATCAGCCAGACTGGGCTCTGGTTTCAGACAGAGGGTGAAAAGAGGTGCTGCAGCACAGGCAGTATGAGAGAGCTTTTTGAACATTAAAGCATGGAGACAGTAGAGACACTACATACTGATATACACCTGAACATCAGCAGGAGAGGACTCTTTAAAGTAGAGACACTATATACTGATATACACCTGAACATCAGCAGGAGAGGACTCTTTAAAGTAGAGACACTACATACTGATATACACCTGAACATCAGCAGGAGAGGACTCTTTAAAGTAGAGACACTACATACTGATATACACCTGAACATCAGCAGGAGAGGACTCTTTAAAGTAGAGACACTACATACTGATACACACCTGAACATCAGCAGGAGAGGACTCTTTAAAGTAGAGACACTACATACTGATATACACCTGAACATCAGCAGGAGAGGACTCTTTAAAGTAGAGACACTACATACTGATATACACCTGAACATCAGCAGGAGAGGACTCTTTAAAGTAGAGACACTACATACTGATATACACCTGAACATCAGCAGGAGAGGACTCTTTAAAGTAGAGACACTACATACTGATATACACCTGAACATCAGCAGGAGAGGACTCTTTAAAGTAGAGACACTACATACTGATATACACCTGAACATCAGCAGGAGAGGACTCTTTAAAGTAGAGACACTACATACTGATATACACCTGAACATCAGCAGGAGAGGACTCTTTAAAGTAGAGACACTACATACTGATATACACCTGAACATCAGCAGGAGAGGACTCTTTAAAGTAGAGACACTACATACTGATATACACCTGAACATCAGCAGGAGAGGACTCTTTAAAGTAGAGACACTACATACTGATATACACCTGAACATCAGCAGGAGAGGACTCTTTAAAGTAGAGACACTACATACTGATATACACCTGAACATCAGCAGGAGAGCACTCTTTAAAGTAGAGACGCTACATACTGATATACACCTGAACATCAACAGGAGAGGACTCTTTAAAGTAGAGACGCTAAATACTGATATACACCTGAACATCAGCAGGAGAAGACTCTTTAAAGTAGAGACACTACATACTGATATACACCTGAACATCAGCAGGAGAGCACTCTTTAAAGTAGAGACGCTACATACTGATATACACCTGAACATCAGCAGGAGAGGACTCTTTAAAGTAGAGACACTACATACTGATATACACCTGAACATCAGCAGGAGAGGACTCTTTAAAGTAGAGACACTACATACTGATATACACCTGAACATCAGCAGGAGAGGACTCTTTAAAGTAGAGACACTACATACTGATATACACCTGAACATCAGCAGGAGAGGACTCTTTAAAGTAGAGACACTACATACTGATATACACCTGAACATCAGCAGGAGAGCACTCTTTAAAGTAGAGACGCTACATACTGATATACACCTGAACATCAACAGGAGAGGACTCTTTAAAGTAGAGACGCTAAATACTGATATACACCTGAACATCAGCAGGAGAAGACTCTTTAAAGTAGAGACACTACATACTGATATACACCTGAACATCAGCAGGAGAGCACTCTTTAAAGTAGAGACGCTACATACTGATATACACCTGAACATCAACAGGAGAGGACTCTTTAAAGTAGAGACACTACATACTGATATACACCTGAACATCAGCAGGAGAGGACTCTTTAAAATAGAGACACTACATACTGATATACACCTGAACATCAGCAGGAGAGGACTCTTTAAAGTAGAGACACTACATACTAATATACACCTGAACATCAGCAGGAGAGGACTCTTTAAAGTAGAGACACTACATACTGATATACACCTGAACATCAGCAGGAGAGGACTCTTTAAAGTAGAGACGCTACATACTGATATACACCTGAACATCAGCAGGAGAGGACTCTTTAAAGTAGAGACGCTACATACTGATATACACCTGAACATCAGCAGGAGAGGACTCTTTAAAGTAGAGACACTACATACTGATATACACCTGAACATCAGCAGGAGAGGACTCTTTAAAGTAGAGACACTACATACTGATATACACCTGAACATCAGCAGGAGAGCACTCTTTAAAGTAGAGACACTACATACTGATATACACCTGCACATCAGCAGGAGAGGACTCTTTAAAGTAGAGACACTACATACTGATATACACCTGAACATCAGCAGGAGAGGAGTCTTTAAAGTAGAGACACTACATACTGATATACACCTGAACATCAGCAGGAGAGGACTCTTTAAAGTAGAGACACTACATGCTGATATACACCTGAACATCAGCAGGAGAGGACTCTTTAAAGTAGAGACACTACATACTGATATACACCTGAACATCAGCAGGAGACGACTCTTTAAAGTAGAGACACTACATACTGATATACACCTGAACATCAGCAGGAGAGGACTCTTTAAAGTAGAGACACTACATACTGATATACACCTGAACATCAGCAGGAGAGGACTCTTTAAAGTAGAGACACTACATACTGATATACACCTGAACATCAGCAGGAGAGGACTCTTTAAAGTAGAGACACTACATACTGATATACACCTGACCATCAGCAGGAGAGGACTCTTTAAAGTAGAGACACTACATACTGATATACACCTGAAACTCAGCAGGAGACGACTCTTTAAAGTAGAGACACTACATACTGATATACACCTGAACATCAGCAGGAGAGGACTCTTTAAAGTAGAGACACTACATACTGATATACACCTGAACATCAGCAGGAGAGGACTCTTTAAAGTAGAGACACTACATACTGATATACACCTGGACATCAGCAGGAGAGGACTCTTTAAAGTAGAGACCCTACATACGGATATACACCTGAACATCAGCAGGAGAGGACTCTTTAAAGTAGAGACACTACATACTGATATACACCTGAACATCAGCAGGAGAGGACTCTTTAAAGTAGAGACGCTACATACTGATATACACCTGAACATCAGCAGGAGAGGACTCTTTAAAGTAGAGACGCTACATACTGATATACACCTGAACATCAGCAGGAGAGCACTCTTTAAAGTAGAGACACTACATACTGATATACACCTGCACATCAGCAGGAGAGGACTCTTTAAAGTAGAGACGCTACATACTGATATACACCTGAACATCAGCAGGAGAGGACTCTTTAAAGTAGAGACGCTACATACTGATATACACCTGAACATCAGCAGGAGAGCACTCTTTAAAGTAGAGACACTACATACTGATATACACCTGCACATCAGCAGGAGAGGACTCTTTAAAGTAGAGACACTACATACTGATATACACCTGAACATCAGCAGGAGAGGACTCTTTAAAGTAGAGACACTACATACTGATATACACCTGAACATCAGCAGGAGAGGACTCTTTAAAGTAGAGGACACTACATACTGATATACACCTGAACATCAGCAGGAGAGGACTCTTTAAAGTAGAGACACTACATACTGATATACACCTGGACATCAGCAGGAGAGGACTCTTTAAAGTAGAGACACTACATACTGATATACACCTGAACATCAGCAGGAGAGGACTCTTTAAAGTAGAGACACTACATACTGATATACACCTGGACATCAGCAGGAGAGGACTCTTTAAAGTAGAGACACTACATACTGATATACACCTGAACATCAGCAGGAGAGGACTCTTTAAAGTAGAGACACTACATACTGATATACACCTGAATATCAGCGGGAGAGGACTCTTTAAAGTAGAGACACTACATACTGATATACACCTGGACATCAGCAGGAGAGGACTCTTTAAAGTAGAGACACTACATACTGATATACACCTGGACATCAGCAGGAGAGGACTCTTTAAAGTAGAGACACTACACACTGATATACACCTGAACATCAGCAGGAGAGGACTCTTTAAAATAGAGACACTACATACTGATATACACGTTGACATCAGCAGGAGAGGACTCTTTAAAGTAGAGACACTACATACTGATATACACCTGAACATCAGCAGGAGAGGACTCTTTAAAATAGAGACACTACATACTGATATACACCTGAACATCAGCAGGAGAGGACTCTTTAAAGTAGAGACACTACATACTGATATACACCTGAACATCAGCAGGAAAGGACTCTTTAAAGTAGAGACACTACATACTGATATATACCTGAACATCAGCAGGAGAGGACTCTTTAAAGTAGAGACACTACATACTGATATACACCTGAATATGAGAAAAAGAGGGTCCCTTTAAACTAAGAGTGTGTGTATGGAGTCGACAACAATAAGGCACAAGTTGTGTCTGTGTGAACGAAAGCGATGTTTCCTCTGCGCAATCAATGTCTACAGTTTCTATTTAAGGCAGCTACTGTGTGTGTGTGTGTGTGTGTGTGTGTGTGTGTGTGTGTGTGTGTGTGTGTGTGTGTGTGTGTGTGTGTGTGTGTGTGTGTGTGTGTACCTGATCATCTCCTCCTGGTATAGAGAGCTGACTGTTGCTCCTCCGAAGCCCGTTCTTCTCTTTGCTCCTCGTCCTTCCTGTCAAATTAAAAGCACAGTCACACATTAGCACTATATATTATATCCACCTCATACACAACATTTTAAAAGCAGATGTTGGTCACTTACAGGTTTGAAAGCCAGCCACAAAAAGCAGCCAAATGTGAGTAAAATAGGCAAGCCCAAACAAAGAAAAAGTTATCTAATCAGAAGCTGTTAGATTTTGGAATCCAACAACACAGTACAAAGTTCATTTCCAGCACTGTTCATGGTTTACAAACGTCCTCTTGTAAGCGAGAGCTCGTGTGAAACACCAACCTAATCTAGTTCAGCTCTAGTGTTGCCACATACGAGAAAAGTACTGACCTCGTTTTGTTGTCTGCTCAATACAATAGAAAAGGCTTCACTAGGGTTCCTGTATTCCCTTACAGTTACATACAAAGTAATCAGATTACTGTTACCTGTCTACAAATGTTGGATTATGTTAGAAATTAAAATCAATATTTTTATGGTATAATGTACCTTAAACATACCGTCAGTTTAAATGCTATTTTATACTGGCAAAAAACGGAAGTTCTCAATACCAAGCTTTTATTCTGAAAATCCTTCATGACGACATCCGGGACTACCGTCCATCAGTATCATTAAAGTGGCTATTGACGCCGTTAACACGTGTTACATATAAAGTTATGAAAGAGATAAGGAGGAGAAAAGGCATGTGGAAGTAAGCAATGAATGTAAAATGTCGAAATCCTCTGTTTAACGAAATATCGGACACAGAAGAACGAGGGGGGAAGTCCCCTACGTCACTACAGCCCCTAGAGAGGAGGGGCAAACAGCCAGCAAGCGGGAAGGACGAATGCTTGTGGGTTCTCTTGGACTCGGCCGATCACTGCGAGAGGAAGCTGCAGCCTTTCTCTCCTCACCTGAAAATATTCTGCTTGTAACATACCCGCGCCTTTTTTAATTAAAGTACCATTTGAACCTTCTCAGAGACTCCATTTAGTCTCCTTTTTAAAGCTTCTCTCCTGGACGCGAGAATAACGAACAACAGTTAACAATTACCAGCAGGATGACAGTGTTAGTAAGAACCTGAAAAGAGCATACAGTGTTTGTTGTAAAAGGATCAGCTGTTCTCTTCTCTGTGAGCGGTTCTGTTCTATAGGCTAATACTGTAAGTGCTCTATACGCAGGGGTGCACATAACTTTGTTGCCCTGGTTCTCAAAGGAGCACCTGGAGATGTTGCTTGGTGCTCATCCTTAAAATGAAATAAACCGTAACTTTTGAGGGGTCTTGACTTTATTTGCCAGACACACGGCACTGAACACACATGCAGAGGTGAACACAGAACACACGTGCAGAGGTGAACACAGAACACACATGCAGAGGTGAACACAAGACAACATTAGCACGACCAGTAATCCTACAAGCTGTCATCACTCCTGACTGTTCTCCTCACTGTCTTCCTCTCTGTCAGACATGGTAGCTGATGATGTAGGCCTACTTCTTCCTCTCTGGTTGAGTCTGTGATTAGCTGCTGGCATCCACAAGTCAACAGCTGGTTTTGGGTCGAAAGTCTCTGTTGTCATCTTAGAAAAGTGGATGTAATCAAATAAGTATGTGAACATAACCAATAACCTACCATAGCCAATAACAAATTAGTGTAACTTATTTTATTTATGTTGTTCATTCATATCTTATTTTACCTTAACATTTATTTATTTATGCATTTGTTTGTATCTCTCCAGTTTTAAAGGATATTTTTGGTTACTGTCCTATAGTATACATTGGAATGATTTCAAACATGTTTATCCCAATAATTATAAAGGAGTGCCTTGGAAATATGTGTTTACATAAATTGTGACCAAACCGTTTGAACTTAGACTAAAGTGAACTATCTAAACACTCAGAGTCCTTTACCTCACTGAGCTGTAGTTATCAGCCTCTCAGTCTGACTGGAGAGGACTCTCCCTCCACATTATTGTAGAAACATCTTCTTCTTATATCCGTTAGAGCAGCTAGCACCAGATTCTAATAACAACAGCGCTGGTACCGGTGCGCCCTCCCTCTCTCCCTCGCTCACTCGCATTTTGGCTGTGAGCTGCGGGTGCCAGATAAGCCAACATCCCCCATTTTCATCACTTACAGCGCCCATCGTACAGGGCAAATGAAACGTGTAACCGGGGTGAAAAGGGTGTTACATTTACTTAATTGTGAATATCGTTACATCAAGGCCGAAAATTAGGATGAGCACCAACGGTCAAAAATGTTTTTTCCCCTCCCAGCGCAGCGCCTCCACAGATCTGGCGCCCTCGGCGAACATCTATTACGCCAGGGCTACGGGCCGGCCCTGAGTTCATATCATAGGTTCATATGCAACTCGCAAATATATTTCTCTCTCTCTCTTCTCTTTTCTCTCTCCTCTCTTTTCTCTTCTCCCTTCTCTCTCTCTCTCTCAATGTTGGTACGCAAATGCGCCTTTTTTCAAATGACAGGGTGCTCTTTTGTTGGCGGAGGTGCGCATGCGCACCTGCGCACCAGTTATGTGCAGCCCTGTCTATACGCCCACTGCCTGAATCTGCTTTAAGATTTAACCATCTTATTTAAAACATTCTCAGAATCCTGAGGGTTCTTTCCTTTTGATATTCTTGTCCAAATTATCACATTTTTTCTAAATAAAATCCTGACTTTTGTCTCACAAATCTAACTTTTTTCAAATTCCTGACTTTCTACATATTTACATTTATTTATTATATTTATATTTATTTGAAATTAAGACTTTTTGAAAAAAAGACTTTTCTTTTCCAAATTTAGATTTTTTTCTTCAGAATTTTTATTCCAGAATTCTTTCTTTTTTCCAAACTCCTGACTTTTAATATAATTCAAACTTTTTTTTAAAAAGACACTTTTTATAAAAATTCTGAGCGGATCAGCTTTTCTGCATCTGTCAGCTGTTCTGTTCTGTAGGATAATACTGTAAGTGTGAATCTATACGCCGTCACCTACTGCCTGAATCTGCTTTATGAAACATATATTATTTATGTTTTACACGTGGCCCTAATCATCATCTTTTAAAAATTCCCAGAATCCAGATTTTTTTCTCAAAATTCTCAACTTTTTCTCAAAATTCTCAACTTTTTCTCAAAATTCTGACCTATTTGTCAAAATCATACTTTTTTCAAATCTTCGATACTTGTTTCATAATTCTAACTTCTTTCTCAAAATGTTAACTTTTTAAAAGAAAAAATCTCAATTTTTAGAAAAGTTCTGACTTTTTATAAAAATGCTCACTTTTTCTCAAAAATATAACTTTTTTCAAATTCCTGTCTTTTTACATATTTCTTGCTTCTTTTTCAAAACAGCTGTTCTCTTCTCTTCTAAGCTGTTCTGTTCTATAGGCTAACACTGTAACTGAATCTATACGCCTACTGCCTGAATCTGCTTTATGAGTGTCTCAGTCTTGGGGCTTGGACTGTGGGGCTTGGACCTAAAATATGGAGTGTGCTACTTGGAGAGGTCCCAGTTCACCTCCTGCCCTGCCGTGGTGCCCTTGAGCAAGGCACCGGACACCCCCCTTCCCCCTTCCCTCCCATTGCTGCCCGGGCGCTAATAGCTGCCCACTGCTCCTACTAGACTCCTGGTACTAGGATGGGTTAAAAGCAGAGAACACATTTCACTGTGTGTGCTTCCTTTATAACCTGGTTTCATCCCTCCCAATTATATTCTATATATATATATATATATATATATATATACACACATGGCCCTAATCAATCTCAGAATCCAGATGTCTTTTTTCAAAATTCCTTTTTTTCCTTCATAATTCCATTCTGTTTCAAAATTCTCACTTTTTTACAAAAATCTAATTTTTTAGAAAGAGTTCTGACTTTTTATAAAAATTCTGACTTTTTCCCCAAATGTATTTTGTACCAGAACGTGTGTGTACATTAGCAACTAATTATTGGTCTTTACATAATAAAAAAAGTTGCTTTATAAAAAGATGACTGAATCTATACGCCTTCTGCCTGAATCTGCTTTATGGCTTTCTCTTTCTTCGCTTCATTTGTTCTGTTTTCAAGTCAGCAGGTGAACCTACATGTTCATAAAGTAGTGTGTTCAAGGCTTTTATTGGCCATACGTACATATAGCTACAGTGTAGTTAGGACGATGAAAATCTGAGGTCACAGGCTCCTCAACAGAGCAACACAATAACACAGAAAGTAAATACAAAACGAAAAACAGTGAAAAAGTGAAATAGTGTGTGTGAGCTTAACGGTGTGTGTTAAACAAAAACAGAGCATTTCCTGTCAGCTCAGATTTCATTCCTGCTTCTTTAAACTCTAGTCTGTGCTCATGGGTTTCAGTGTTCGTGTACAGACTGAATCTGCTTCATGAAAGGCAGGTTTTCCTATCGATAAAATCATTTCTGATCCTAAATATCTTGCTTTCTACTTTTCTAAGGTCACATTGATCTGTTGTCTTACATGTGTTACTTCACTAAAAAACATATTATTGATATTTATTTTCTCTTGTGTTTATTTGCATTGCATTTGATGTTGAGGTAATCCAAAAGTACCAGAAAGTAATCAGGTTACTTTATATTGTGATACTCAGAAAAGGTCCTCCTTCGCGTCGAAAGGAGCCAGTTGAGGTGGTTCGGGCACCTAGTAAGGATGCCACCTGGGCGCCTCACTAGGGAGGTGTTCCAGGCACGCCCAGCTGGGAAGAGACCAAGGGGTAGACCTAGGACCAGGTGGAGGGAGTATATCTCTTCGCTGGCCTGGGAGCGCCTTGGGATCCCCCAGTCAGAGCTGGTTGATGTCGCCAGGGAAAATAAAGTTTGGGGCTCTCTGCTGGAACTGATACCCCCGCGACCCGACCACGGATAAGCGGGAGAAGATGGATGGATGGATTTAATCCCGACCCTGTGCACGACGCAAATTAAGTTAAATTGTGTATTTTCTTTTCAAACAAGCCTCCGGGGCTTTAAGACATGACCTCATAGCTAATAAACGTCCGACATTATGCACACAGGCCGATATAAAACATGAAGCTCCTTCATTTGTGGCTCTTGTTAATCTTGTGTTTTACATTCAGTCCGGCCAAAACTTTATTACCCAGCCTTTTGTTCGCTCACCAACCTCCACTCACAAAGGAACCCGCACAAATCTGATTTCAGGAAACAGAGAGAGTGGGGAGAAGATGACAAGCGAAGCAAAACAGCGCTTTTGGGGACGACCTAATTCACTTGAGAAAGTCAGAATATTCGCTGATGCACTGGCCCTGCTCCTCTGCACAATAATGTGATATAAAGCCAGTGTCTGCTCAACAATCCAGGCCGGAACAGAGGTCAGATTCTGGCTATTATTCTCCCTCGATGCACTCCTACCTGCACTATTTCCCTGTGCTTC